AGCAGCCGCCCGGCTCGACAGAGACTCGCAAACAGACCGTCTCTGGTTTGCGGTCGTTGATCTCGATAATGCGCTGTCGCCACGGGGAGGAGTCAGAGGCAACGCGGAGAGGCGGGCATGAGAGCAGCGCACACCTCAGCACAGCGTGTCGTGATGTTGATGTCCGGCTCCCCCGGAACCCACATCTCCGCCGAGCAGAGCGAGCGCAGACGAGTCGCTGGCGGCGGGCGAGCGCTCTGAAGAAGTCTGCGAAAGGCTAGCATAGTCACCAGCGAGACAGGAACCGGGCCAAAGTGCGGCCGAAGAAAAGACCTGCCTGACTCTGTTGTTCGGGCAGTGAGAGACGCAGGATCTGCACGCCAAAGTGGGCCACTCATTTGCATTTTGGTTTTGGGTTGTCGGAGATCATCCATCAGCACTCATGTCATCGGGGGCGAAGGCCTAGCCTACCTGCCCCGGGCGTGAGGGGCAGGTAAATGAGTGGCGCCGGGGCAGGTAAATGGCGCGGTTCACGCCTCGCACAACAGAGAGAGAGATGCGCTCTGCATGGTGGGACACGGCGCAGTGTCCCCCGCTATGTGTCGCCGTTCGTCGGGGCACGCTATCCTGTGCAGTCAGGGCAAGTGGGGGCGGGGCGGACAGCCCAGGAGCGTGCTCCTGGGACCTCTCTTCCCAGTCCGGCTCCGGGGCGCGCGGGGGTGCGTCGAACCTTCCATAACCCTGGGTGCTGGGAACGTCCCCGGGTTTGGAAGTAAAAGATATGTATTTTTGGGATGCGAATGTTGGACGGAGGGTGGACGCGTCCAGAATGTTGGACGGAGGGTGGACGCGTCCAGAGGGGGGGTCAGGGGGGTACGGCAGTTTTGGATTTTGCATCTCGGCTGCATCAATGGCGTGAGAGATGGGCGGCCTGGGATGGGCGGCCCCGAATCACGGACACGTCGGCGAGGACAGCGACGGCGTCGTTGGTGGAGCGCAGGGGCGAGGGCGTCGACCGACGGGCGGCGCACCAGGACTCCAGGAGGTCGCGGAACGACGGGTCGAGCCCCTCCGCCAATCGAGGCGGCGGTCGAGACGGTGAGCGGCTGACGTCCTCGCGGGTGGCGCGGAGTACGGCCGACACTACGTGCTGCGGCAGCCCGCGGAGCCGCAGGAGGCGCGGCGGAGCGGCTGCGCGTGGACGCGACGGCGAGGCTGGCCGGGCACGCTGTCATCGAGATAGGCACGCACGTCGAGATCCTAGGCGAGCAGGGGTGGTGGCCGGCCACCATCACGTGGCGGGAGGTAGGTTCGGGCGGCCGGCTCGTGTGGATGCGGTCGAGTACGACGGCTACCCGGACGCCGAGCCTCTCCTCTCCTTAGAGGAAGAGACGTGGAGGCAGGTGATAGTTTTTAATTATTTTCGGAAAGCTGAGCGTCTAGCCCCAGCTTTCCGCCAGCCGACCCGCTGTGAACCTCGCGGGGGCTCGGGTCTTGCGGACCTAGGGTTAGCTCACGCTGCTCCTCCCTGGGTCTCTTCCCACAGGAGCAGCTGTGAAGCGGCTGCGGCAATAGCAGACAGTAGGCGTATATAGGAGGGTAGGACTCTGACCTGTCCCGACCCTGATCCGAAGGGTGCAAGACTTGTCCATGGTAGCGTACACGTTGGAGCTGCCATCATGCCGCTGGTGGTGTCGGCCGCGGCGATGCAATAGTCGAGGCCATACTGGCCGGAGGATAAGCCATATTCGATAGCGGTCCCGCCGTAGCTCGCGCATAGAAGCAGGAAGCTAGGCAGAGGCCGCATCGCGTCCGCTGTATACAAGTTTGATCCAAAACAACCACACAAGTTTGGTTCTACTAATATCGCGCGCGGATAAAACGCTAATATCGCGCGCGGATAAAACGCGCGCGCCGCCATGGTGGCGGAATATAGTGTTAATGCCCGGGAACACCCGTTGAAGCCAGCCCCTTCAGCCGCCGTGTGGTATGCTGTGGAGCAGGTCACAGGAAGCCCCGGAGGGATATGAGTCGAAGGACGTATCGCGTGGCACGTCTTTTGGCAACCAGTCGCGCTACCTTTCGGCACGCACAACAGAACGGCGTATGGGACGGCTGTGGAGGCCTTTGACGCGATCTGCGAGTACGTTACGGAGAACGCGACGGGGGGGGGCCGCTCAAGGAGTGTCTAGAATAGGTTACTATTCACGATTAGTGCTCTGAATAGTGAGGTTGCAAAACCAATCAGACCTGAATAGAGGCACTCACAAGCTATTCAACTCGTGACTACAATGACGAGCTCTGACCCTCCATTCATGAATATATTCAAGATGCATGCGCTCTCCCGGCGCCCTTCGGCACTCCGCTCTCGATCACTACGGCTAGTTGCTGCCAGCCTGCACCACGTAGCCCTCTCCATCTTCATGGACAGGATCGAGCAGGCCAAGGTCATGCTCATGCAGCTTGTCCGCAGTGGCCTTGCCACCCTTGCTGAACTTGAGCATGTACCGCTCGAGGATCTGCTCGGCCGTCGGCTTGTAGATCGAGTAGTTGACGCCAATGGACGTCCAGACCGCGAGGCGCGCCGGGTCCATCTTGCCATTGTCATCTGAGAGCGCCGCACCTGAGCGCGAGAACAGCTGCTCGCTGTTGCCCTCGTGCGGGATGTGCGAAGCCGTCTGCTTGAATGCGATGTAGTGAAGCGGGAACGAGTTGCGCAGGTGATACATGAGCGCAAACTCGTTGACGATGCCCGCATCGTCACGGTACTCGCGGATCACGTGCTTCTCCAGCGCCGCCCAGCGAGCCGCCTCATCCGTCACTGTGTCAAAGTCAGCGGCCTCTGCGGGCGTCGCTTCCTCATCGTCCGAAAGGTTGCGCACGAGTGAGCTGCAGCCCGCACCCGAGTTCGCCTTCTGCACCTTCCGCGGCGGCGATGAGCGAATGCCGATGCCAGCGATCTTTGCAGCGTCGCGCAGCATGTTGAGGTACAGGGCCTTAGCAAGTGTGCGCCACTGCTCTGGGATCCACTTCTCCGCCGGGTACTGCTTGCTCATCCACAGCTGCACACATCGAGTGTTCGAGGGCCGCTCGGCTTGCTCAAAGAAGCGCGTGTATCGAGCTCACGGATCATGATGTCGCTGCCGTAACGATGGACTCGTGCAGATCTTCCGCCTTGCGCGTCTCCACCGCACGGACGCGATGGGCCGAGCTTGGCCGTTGGCGGGCTGATTTTCACCGTCAACGCCTTGTCGTCTGAGCAGCCCTTCTTCAAGTCGTGCAGCAGGAAAAGAGCTGCAATAGGCCCTTGTGCTCGATCGAATCCTTGATCTGGAACGGGTGGTCGAGGTAGGCCTCGATCTCGAGCGACTGGTCCCATTGGTCGCCGCTCAGCCCAATGGCACTCGCCGCCACCGCCTAACGGGTGGACGGACCAAAAATAAGCTTGGAAAGCGGTTATTCAGACCTGAATGGGAGAGCTGCGGGCCCAATCAGCTCATTCAGTTCTAATCAAGACACTCCTTGGGGCCGCTTCCACGGGGACTCGTCGCGCAGACAGACCGGATACACCAACACCAGCTTGAGGTGACACAGAGGGAGCTAGACAGCGCGCTGTGGAGAACGGCGTGGTCGGTCTCGCGAGAGGGTGCTAGCTACGCCCTCAAGTGCCGGTGCCATGGAGTGACCCTAGGATTCCCGTGCCATAGCCGGTCGATCCGGAGGATGCTGATACTTCGAGCGGAAGCCATAGCAAGGGGGGACCCGAAGCGGGGAGGGCGCCTAGGCGGTAGGATCGAACGACTGGGGATCCCGCAGGGTCGCGCGAGGGAGGCTGGGACGAGTGGAGTGGTTCCGCCGCCTGGCAAGCGGAGACGCCGGCAGGGGTGGGAGGACGCGAGGGGAGGCTCCTCGAGACGTACGTGAACGTCGTGGCACGACGACGACTGACACGTTCCTCCATCTTCAGGAGCGCGCCGTCTGAATTGAAGTACCACTTGACCCCCGTGGTTGAACGACAGACACGCCGACTGGACAGTGCGGCCAGAGGACTCCTCGAAACACGGCCCGTAGGTTGATTCGACGGGTGGCATGGTAAGGAGGGGTGTCGGGTGCCAAGAGATGGAGTTGGATGGATGAGCTGAGCAAAAAACTGACCAGACGCAGCAGGGGTGTTGGGGAAACTGTATCTGCTGTAGCTTTCGCGCCGCACCCCACATCTAGAGAGGCCCGTACCCCGTGCCGAGACCTCCTCGAGTGTGTGCCGGAGAGGAAGAGGGTGGGCGGGACGGTGCCCGTGATGCCGGACTCCCTGATCTTGAGCTGCGCGCGCAGGGGGAGGCGGCCGCTCACCGCGAGTGTCAGGTGTGTCATGGCGGTCGGCCGTTGATTGTCGAGGTGTGGGGGTTGTCGGCATGCGATAAGGCGATAACCGATATGTTATCGGCCCTGAGGGCCGGGTAGGAGGGGTCTAGGTTACCTCTACCTCTGAGGGCCTGGCGGCCCTCTTACCTTTACCTCTGGGCAGCCGTGGGCCCTTTACCTCTACCTCTGAGCGACGTGTAGGGCGTAGGGCCGTGATTTACCTGTGCGTGATCTCTCGGGTCTCGAGTGATCTCTCGAGTGATCTCGATAATATGTGATCTTCGATGGACGATGCAGCTATTTTCAGGGCTGAAATTTTCACTCGCCTAGAGAAGGGAAAACACAAACAATGCGCAGCCGCACGAGTGTTTCTGAGATCGGCTTAGGTGAGTGGCCAGGCATTTCACAAAATGGGCGCCTGGGAGCAGCTCACGCGCGACGCGTCGGAAGTGCCGGCCGCGATCTTCTCGGCTTGCCCTTGCCGCTCACAAGCGGATGCTGACGCCTCGCGACCGGAGGAAGTTGAGTACTCGATCCGGATGCCTCTTGTAGTCCTCCAGCATATCGAAGCCGTTCCGGCCGACTCGGCTCGCGCCCCAGAAGATTTGGTTCTCCGTCATTACCCTCGTCACGTCCTCCTCCGGCACCTCCGTCCCCTTGTGTATTACTTTTTTTGTTGCGACCCCTACGAAGATCCCCCCTTGTCCGACCGTCCCTCCGAGCCCACCCGGCGCCCGAGCCCTCTTGCCTATCACCCGAGCTCGGGGGACGGCGAGCATTGAAACGGGGGGGGAGGGGGGAGCCCTGTGGAACCCTCCCGACGCCGATCGGACGGGGACCCCTCCCAGCCCTGCCTGTGGGCTGTGGTGCGATGGCCTGCGTGGAGGTGTGGCGTGCCCTCCGCGCGCCTCCCGTCGCTGCCTCGCTCCGCGCAGCGGCTGGCTTATGGGTCGCGCTTGTGGCGTGCATGGCGCGCCGGCCTCGCCCGCTCCGCCGCCGCACCCACACACCTTGCCGCGCTCGGCCCGCCGGGGACGTCCTCGATGCCGTCCACCACGGCGGGCGCTGGCACCAGCGCGACCAGCTCGGTCTTCTTGCGCGCCTGGCTGCGCGTGGTGAGGACCGGCGCCCGCCGCGAAGTATCGCTGGCGAGTGCGGCTGCGGCGCGCAAGCCCAAGCCCATCCCGAGGACAGCCCCCAGCAAAACTACGCCCACCCACAACCCCACCCCACCCAACTCGCCGCCGTGCGAGCCGCCCCCGCACCGCAGCGGCGCACCGGCGAGCGCGGCGGCGCGCGCGGCCACCGCTGCGGCGGGGCTGCCCAAGCTGAGCGCCGCCGCCGCCGGGCCGCGCGCCGCCTCGTCCGCCGGCGGCGCGAGGGAAGTCCACTCGGCTCGCAGCGCCCAATATGCGCGCTTGAGCCGGCGACCGCTGCCCCGCCCGGAGACCGTCTCGGTGAGCCCGAAGAAGGCCTGTCCGCGCGCCAGAGAGTCGGGCAGCCCCTCCCTCTCGCTTCCGGCTACCTCTCGCTCTCGGCTACATCGCTTCCGGCTACAACTCCCCGGCCGTCGTGTCTGCGGCGGCTACATCTCGCCTCGTTGGCGCACGCGTCCGGCAGCGCGTTGGGCCCCCAGCCAGCGAGCACGCCGGGCCGCGCGGGCGAGCACGGCGAGCCGAGATTGTTTGTCCGGCCCGCCGCCTTCCAAGGCTCATCCGCCCACTCGAAGACCACACCGCCAACCGTGCCTGCGCCCTGAGGCATCCCGGCCCCGCCAAGCGCCGCCGCGCCGCCGGGCGCTACGGCGGCGGCGGAGCCCTCCGCCGAGATGAGGCGCCGCCACTGCGCCACTAGAAGCTCGGCTTGCTCGTCCTGCGCCGTGCTCCACGCCGCACAGGTGAGCAAATAAAGTGCTTTCAAGGTCAAGTCAGTCGCGGTGTGGTGGATATGGGCGGGTGGGTCGGAGGGGGGCGGAGGGCGGGGGCCTGGGGGTGGGTGGTCGGCAGGTGCGGGAGGTGGGGGGTGACTCCACATGGGGGGTCTGGGAAGTGTGCCAGGAAGTGGCTGTGCCGCCTCGCTCGAGGCGCCCGCAATGTTGTCGTACGAATCGGAGCCCCACTCGGTGAGGAGGAGCGGCCGGGAGGTGCCGAGGGAGAGGTTGCCTCCTGCGCCGCCGCCAGCTCTGCCGCGAGCCCGGGAGGCGGCGTGGAGGGGACTGGCGGCACTGGCGGCGCGGGCGGCCGCCGTCGAAGCGGCGTGGCGCGCGTAGAAAAAGTCTGCCGGGTCGGGCTTGCTGAAACCCCAGTAGCAGTTGAAGCCGTCGACGTCCCAGAGGGCGCCTGCATCATGTTGCATGACATGAGATGAGATTGTCCCGCCGTCGATATTGCCGTCGAAACCGCCCATGCCCCATGGCGCACCCGCGGCGGCGAGGGCGGCGAGGTGGCGCGTCTCGCAGGTGAGCGGCACGGTGATGGGGTGCCAGGTGCCGAGCGCGTCCTCGGCTTCGCGCACGACGCGGGTCAGGGAAGCCACCCTCGCAAAGGCGGCCTTCGCCTCCGCCGAGCCCGCCGGCTTCCCTGTGCGGGCGTGGCGTGGCGCTCGAAGAGACGCGCGCAGCGGGATACAGGCAAGTGAGAGGTGCGAGCCTGCATCCGGCTCATTGGAAACTGCCCAGAGGAGGATCGCCGGGTGTCTGGCGATGCGCTGGACGATCGCCCTCGCCGCCTCGCGGTGCTCCAAGAAGTAGTTGGAGATGGGGAGCATCACTCGCAGCCCGGCGGCGGCCGCCGAGTCGAGAAACGCGAGCCCCGCAGCGCCGCCGTGGAGGGCGGGGTCCCAGTTGTAGAGCCTGCGCGGGTGGCGGTCAGGCGTTGGCTGGCGCGGGCGGCGGGCGCACCTTCTTCCCGCTCGCCACGCGCCTGAGCGTGTTTGCACCCAGCCCCGCGAGAAGCTGCAGGTCGTCATGCCAGACGGCTCGTCGCTCAGGCGTGAATAGGTCGGGAGGCGCCTCGAAGCGGCGTTCAAAGGAGAGCAGGGGCGAGTACGCCACTCCTCGCACCTCGAATCGTTCACCCTCGACGTACAGCGACGAGCCAGCCACTGAGACAGTAGTGGAGCACCGCGGAGCAGCGACCATCTCAAGACGCCACCGTAGGGGAGGATTTTCACGCCCCGCACAAGCGCCGTATCCGGACAAAAGCGCATCCTGGAAGGTCCGATACTGGAAGCCCATATAGGCACCTTTATTGGGGGGTTTGCAGCGTTCCACACTTCTACTTACACTTTTGCTGTCCACACTCCTCCACACTTGCCCTGGATTTGGGGGAAATCCTAATCCAGTTGCTCTGACAAGCCTCTGGAGCGGCCGCACTCTGCTCGCTACCCCCCCTGCACAACTAAGCCCGTCCCTGCTGCTAGGGGGGGGGTCCCGACCCCCCCAGCAGCAGAGCGCACTGGACCCAGCTCCCGCCTCCCGCCGCCCCCGGCCTCCCGCCCCCTCGGCTCGTGTTTGAGCGGTACGCTCGAGGCGGTTGTGTTCACCGCGCCTTCGAGCCCAATACACCTTCGTGCTGTCGAGTGCTGGCGTTTTACTAAAGACTTGTGACCATCTGAGTCTATCTTGTACTACCACACACACGCATAGCTCAAGGTCATAGGGTGTAGTGAGCCACTCACTCGGGCGTCTCGCTGACGTTGATCGATCAGCGCTGATCTCCCTAGCCTATCGGCCACCCGCTCGATCCTCGGATCGCTCGCTCGTCGCAAATCGATCGACTGAGCTGTCAGCAAGCGCCTCTCCATAAAAAAAAACTGTTCAGTTTTACGAAAAAGGGAGCTACCTGCTCCGGCGACACTAGGGACTCGGGCCTGATCCCGCACAAAACATCTCCACACACTCTCTCCTCTCTATGACACGACTCTCCGACCTTGGGCTAGATTCCCATATTTCACCACAAGCGCCAAACTGCTTCGCCGCGCGCTGCTTACAGCGTCAAGTGCGGCCCTTAGCTGAGTAGAACTCGAAGTGGGCGTCGAGGGGGCCTATAGTAGAGTGTGAGCCCGCGCGCTGCAAAGCTCGAGTGTGGGCGATGGCGCGAGCTGGGCCATGTACTAATTGCGTGTGACTGTTTCTGCCGTCTTTGAGGGGGCGTGGGCGTAGGAGTGGTGCTCTGCTACCCTTGCAGCCGAGCGCCTTCTCTCAGCTCCATTGCCTCTAGGGGTTGTGGCCGTGGATTTGGCCCCCTAGCCCCCCTCTCCGAGAGCAGGCCTGTCCAGTCTGTGTGGGTGGGGCGCCGTCGTGGCGTGAATCTTGCCTGCCCGTCGTGGCGTGAATCTTGCCTGCCGATGTTGGGGTGTTGCCGAGGTGGCGTGTCGGGGTGTCGCCGTACGCGGAGGGTAGGCAAGCGGTGGTGGGGACGGGTTCCGGGGCTTTGTCGAGCGTGGTAGTCGCCTCTGGTCTCGAGGTGTGAATGGAGCTGTGTGTCAGCTCTGACTATCTCGCGTGATATCGGCCGCGTTGGCGGTTTCAGCGTGCTTCAGGCGAGGGATTTGGTTGGTGAGGGCGCGGGTGGGGCGCGTCCGAGGGCTCGCGGGCGAGGGCGAGTGCCGAAGGCGGTGTGGCGCGCCTCAGACCGAGGTCTGTTTGCGCCTGTTTGCGCCTGGTCGCTTGCATAGGGTCGATCTCGGCGGTTGAGTTAGTGTTGGCACCCCGAGTGACTGGCTTGATTGTTGGGCTGAGTGCGAGCCCTAGGGCGCCTCATCCGGCAGGCTGTCACTCGGCGGGGGTGGGGAACGCGAGACGGGGTCCATTTGTGGTTGGGACCGTGCGTGCGGGGTTGGGCGACTCGCAGCCGTGGGTGGGCACTGGGACATTGTTGACGCGCCTGCGGGCGTGCCTGCGGGCGCGTTTGAAAGCGCTGATGCGCCTCCTGCGAGCTATCCGTGGCAGCAGGAGCGCGGTTTTTCGTGAGAGGGTGTGAATCACCGTGTGTGCATCGGGCATTGGTGGATGGAGTGTAAGCGCGCAGAGGCGTGGTGAGAGGAGGGCGGCCATGCAGAGGCTGACTCGGGGATGCCTACTGGGATGGCGGCCGCAGGCTGCGGTGTGAAGGGCAGTCGCCGAACCACGGAGTCAAGGAGAGCCATAGAGCCGAAGAGCCACAGCAGTGGCCCGGCTGCCATCAGCAGCTGCTCTGCGAGATTGCATCTCGCTACTCTCGGTGAAGTAACTCTGGGTACAGGAATTGTATGCCCCTGCTGGCTGTGACCGGGATAGGCCCCCGTTGGCCCGGGGGAGCTGCGGCTCACGCCCAGCCCCCCGCGTGTCGTCGCCGCCATGAGTGCACGTGGAACCGCACAGAATGTGCGATTGGCACATGCTGGACCCGTTACCTCGCCTCGCGGCGAGGTCGGCGCGACAAACCGCAATCGAGCGGGCGCAGCCGCTACGATTGCGGCGGGCTGACCGGCGGTGAGCGCTGTCGCTGCCGCTCCGAGCTTCCCCAGAGTCAGCAGCACAGCAAGCAACCCGTGTACGGCCTCACGCACAGTGGAGGGTTGTCGGCACCTGTCGGCGCCAGTCGCCCTTCCAGCGCAGTGAAGCCGCGCCGTGTGCTGCTGCCGAGCCGCCGCAAGTCGGCTTTGAGGCCGACTTGTGGCTGGCAGTGGAGCCCTGAGCATGCTCGAGGACTGTGCCAGAGTTGAGGTACTGCGGCGTACATTGCTCAACACTGCGAACGAATTTTGACATGAGACCAACGCGCATGCGTTGGTTTGCAGTGACCTCGCCTGCGTCGTGCGACGCGGCGCGGACCAGGTGAGGCGATCGTCCGCCCCGACGGCGGGCCGGACGGATGGGTACGTCGTCATGGGTACGCGACGATAAAAAAGATTTTGAGCGCGTCTCCATCATCTTTTTCACCGCGTCTGCCGTGACCCTATTCTGCTCGGGTATCTCCTCCTCCCATGTCGCATTCGTGTCGAGGCCCGGGGTCCCCTCCAGTTTTACCACTCGATTGTCCCCTTCCTCTCTCGACCCCAGGTGTGTGCCGCTATCTTGCGCCGGTTTCTTCCCTCCGAGGTAGAGCGTCCTGGCCCTCCCCTCCACTCGGATGTCCGTCTTGGTTCGCCCTTCTCCGAACGTGTGTTCTGTCATGTTGGGTGCGCTTGTGCACAACCCGTTTACCTCCCTGCTGTAATCGATGAATCGATCGAGCACATCGCTCCACGACGGTGCATTACCTTTCCCATCGCACGTCTCTAGTGCTCTGTTCGCCTGCGCTGCCTCCGGCCCCGAACTACCTAGTCTTCTGCGGTGTTCTAGCCACTCTCGGAAGGACGCCGCTTGCCATCTCACGCCTTGCGCATGCATCAGCTCCCGCTCCCATGTGTTAGCCAAGACACCGACATACTCTACGCTCGCCATCTTATCATGCCACACCCAACTGTCGCTCTGCTCGCCTTCCCATTCGCAGAGGTACTCCCATCCGTGTCCGTCCTCCTCTCTGCCCCCCCCGTAGCAGGTCGGCGCCTTCCTTGCTGCCTTCACCTTCAGCACCCTGTCGGGCGCCCTCCATCCCGTCTTCTGTCCGTGTGTGCGCGCCCTTCTATAACCGCCCACTTCCACTCCCTTCGCAGCTGCGCCCACTCTGGTCGCTGCAGCTGCTCCGCCAGCCTCGTGTATTCGCTGTGTTCCGTCGTGTTGTCTCTGAGGCCATAGACTCGCTTCATTTGCCGCCACGTCAACACTTCCCCGGCGCCCCGTTCTGACACGTCCGACCATGTCGCTATCCCCTGCTTGGCTAGGTTGCGTGCGAAGCCGCATGCGAGGCCTTGGTTATTCCAGCCGTGGCGCCTCGTCTCGAAGAGGAGCGGGCCCAATACTCTCTTTCGGCTCTCTGTCGTTCTCCACGCCTCGGGTCTAAGCGGCCCCTTCTTACTCTCTTCCCACCCCGCTGTCGTGACCGTCTCCACCCCACACCTCCACTTTGCCATTAGGTATGCTTCGATCATTAGTTCGTCCGAGAGCTCCCTTTCCCAGTCCCAGCTCGGCTTCCACTCCAGCGGGTTATCACTTCGGCATCCCAGCCTCCGCAAAGTGTGCGCTAGGCTGCTCTCTACGGCCACCCTCGCTGGTTCCCCTTCCACCGCGCTGAGGGCCCGGTCCACTTGATCGATCAGCGCCGCCGCTGCATACGTGTATGCGTGTTCCATTCCCATCCCTCCTCTCTCCTTCAAGTCGTATATTTGTAGTCGCGGGATTCCTACCGAGTACCCTTTTGCGTTTAGGGCACTCGCCCTCACCTGTTCGATGCTCTGGCAATCTTCCCATGTGATGACCGTGGACCGGCCCTAGTACCCGATAATGCCGCTCAGTGCTAGCGCCATGTTGCGTCGGATCTGCTCTCCTGTCAAGTGCGGCAGGTTGCCTATGATCCAGCTCACCCTCTTGCAGTCCGCTACGCACCGCTCCCTCATTTCCGTCTGGCCCTCGCCGTTTGCCCACCCGGTCCTGAGCTCCGTTCCGAGATATTTGTAGCTCTCGTCTCCCTTCAGCTGTGGTATCGGCATACCATCCGGCATCCTCATAGCCCTCGACATCCCGCTCTTCGTTGTTCTCCCAGTACGTCGCTGACCATGCCGATTTCTTCTTCTTTTTGACCTGGAGGCTGTTGCCACAGATCTTTGTCACTAACCAAATTAATCAACATGAACCAGAATGGCCGTCTGCGGAGACAACACAGGACAGGGGACGCCGAACCAGGCATCACCGGAACTCACAGGCTGACAGGCGACTCAGTTTTCAGTTACGCGCGAGGGCCCCTGCTCGGCACAGTCGCTTCGTGACTAACAAGGGGTGCCGGCAGAGACCCTCTTCGCGGCGCACTCGCCTTCGCCTCGTGGTGGGAAGCGAACTGCACCGCGAACTTGAGAGCCTCCACCCAATAGCGCACCTAGTCCTCGTGGCTGAGACTTGGGAGGTATCGAGTGGGAGTTCACCGGGGCCACAACGGCGGCGTACTAAGGCCTGCGGCCGTGCGAAAAGCGCTTTTACCGAATTGTGGGCCCCGTCGGTGGCCGGGCCTTCTGGCACAAAGGAGACCGCCCGCGAGCGCGCAGGTCCCTACGCCAAAGGTCATGCGCCTGGTGGCGGTGTCGTCCCTGATCGCTGCTGCATCCGCCGGGGAGCCGCCGCACGGCACGCCCGGTCCGCGGCGACGGCTGCAGGAGAAGGGACTACGCGTGTGCATACAAAAGATGATTTACGACGGTTATCAGGGGGGGAATGCAGGCGAGCCTAAGGGGTTTAAACCCGATCAAAAAAAACAGTGGAAGAGCTTTGAGGCGAACAGGTGGGCCAACGACGATGGTTTCTCGGAGCCACCACAACCAGATGAACACCTTTCACAGTATGCGCAGTGCCAAGTCCGTGATATCGAAGCCGGGAAGTGCAGCGAGGATACCACCCCTGATAGGGATTGCAAGGATGGCAAACCGGGCAACCCAAACCCGGATGTGGCACGCGTCGTCGCGTTTCTCAACGTAACGTTCTCCGGGACGCCAACTTTTATGGAGGACAATTTGGTCGACAAAAAGGTGCTCGTAAAACAATTTCAGTTTGGATTGACCGACGCCAGCGATCAACCTGCCATCTTGCCCGAAATGGTCAAAAACCCTGGCTCCCAAGACTCTATCCAAGCTCAGCTGAAGGAATGCGGTTTCCTGAAACTGGGAGACTTTGGGTACATCCGGCCCTCTGGAGGCCAGTCCTCCTCGCCGACAGTCGACAACGGCGCGGAATTGTATGAGCTCATACCAGGAACCCAGATCACCAAAGGCAAGATGGTGGCATCAACGAAGTTTGACGAAGCCGCCCGAAACTGCAATAATCCCCAGCAGTGTGAAGCAAGCTCGCCACCAGAAGGAGAGAACTTTCTACTTAATTCAGTATGCAATTACAACGCACAAGGCGGTTGTTTTGGCTTCGCGCTCCCTGTTTCGTTCTACATCCCCTTGAACGCCTCCTTCCCCAAAGCTCTGCAGATGCCTGAAAGGCCGTACGTCATATTCTTCAACGAGAATGGGAAAGCCATTAACCAAGCCGTCACTTTTGACAAAACCCACTTTGACTATGTGACGGACCCAGCGGGCGAGTGCTTTGAAGATCCCAACGGCGGCGCGCAGCAGGACCCGCACCTTCACTTTGCGCACGGCGGCCGCGCCGACTTTCGCGGCCAACACGGCGCCTACTACAACTTCTTCTCCGCGCCCGGACTCGCCGTCAATGTCAAGACGGAGGAGCGGACCGGCGGGCTGCCCGACGGGCCGAGTCGCCTCGTCACGCGTGTCGCTGTGAACAGGACGCCACCTTCATGCTGCACAACGGCAAGCTCACGGTGGACGGCTCCTTCATCACCGAGGCGCACCTCGTCGCGCGCGTGGGTGGCGCGAAGCGCAAGTGGGCCAACCTCTCCTTCTGGGCCTCGGAGCTCAACCGCGAGAACTGGGGCTGGCGCGTTGTGAACGGCAGCTGCGGCGGCCACGCCTTCAATCTGGGCAAGGGCGGGTCCCGCCAGTGCGAGGAGCTCCGCATGGCGGTGGATATGGCGAGTGCCACCTTCTCCCTCCGCAACTGGACGCTGCTCGTCCGCGGCGAACACTTTCGACCGGCGGGCGGCGCCCACGAGCCACGTCCACGCATCTGACAAACCGCACACCGACGCGTAGGCAATAACGTCTTCGACCGGCTCTCAGGCCCGGAGCACCGCCTCGACCTCACATTCAGCAGCCGGGGCGACGCGGCTGGGCGAGACTTGCCGCATGGCATTATCGGCCAGTCGTTCTCCTCTACGGCGCCGCGCTACGGCATGACAGACGAGTACCCCGACGAGGGGCGCTTCAAGACAAGTGCCATGGCGGAGGGAGCCATCGAGGGCGAGGCGGCCATGTACGAGATGGCGTGGCCGCACGCCACCGACTTCACATTCTCGCGCTTTGAGGCGCTTGGGAGGGCGGAGACAGCCACCGAGCTCGCGGCGGCACGCGACGCCACGTCCGCCAACTGAACTGCGCGCACTGATGAGCGCATCACGATGCGCGCGGCGGGGCGAGAGGGCGGGTAGGGAAAACTGACTAGGGCGCTGGTGTGTCGCCCTCGCGGGGCGGTCCCTGGGGCGCCCACGGGGCCGATCGGCCCCTGCCGCGCTGCCTGTACGGCAACTAACTGAGCGTTCCGAGTCATGCGCACACCAGTCATATGACCCACAGAGCTTTTGGGGCTCTTACACCTATTCTGTTGAGCCGCCGGTGGCTGTGTTGAGCCGGGCGACAATCAATCTCATGGCGCGCTGTGTGGGTACACAGTATATATATTCATCTCGATTCTGAAATATTCATGAGAGATAAGACTCGCGGATGTCTTAGAGAGATGAGACTCTACTGCGCTGTACTGGGCTGGGTTTTTAGGCATTGTGGGGTTGGCACTCCCATCGACCCTCATGACCTCCTGCGGTCTCTGAGATGGACACCAGTGGGTGTGGGACCACAGCCAGGATACACTCGAAGGCTGGGTAAGCAGTAGAGGTCGATACTCGACGCGTCCCACATGGTCTGTGTCGCTGTCGGCACGCTGTCGACAGGACGTTGAGCGACACCGGTGGCAGTGCCACCCAGGAGTGGTCGGGCAGTCTCCCGTCATGAGAGAGTCACCATGTGATCCGTATGATGATTCCTGACAACCGCCTCAGTCAACTTTCGTCACAGTTCCCGCTCTGAGAGGAGCTGCGGGTCAGTTCGACAGCTGGAGCTGTGTCGCCGGCGTGCGGCGGCCTGCCTCCGGAGGTGCCTCTGAGGTGGACATTTTTGGTCACCGGGAGAGAGCGCGTTCGAATTTTCACTCCGGAACTTCAACTTCACACGCGCACCGGCCAGGGCTACAATAGTGCCAGTGAGGCGGAGGCGCGAGTCAGAAGGCCGCGACCGTGATTTGGTCCCCTCATTTCCTACAATCGCTGTGAACCCAGCCACGTATCTGACTCGCGCCCCTGGGCCTGCGCCTGGCCCCTCGCACCACAGGTGCACCACAGAGATGGTGTGTGCTGTGGTTCTTACTTTGTGTGCGAAGTGAGGACGAGGAACGTACTCTAGTACACTAGTCGCTCCAACAACAACTCATGTTACATCTTCATGATCATGCGCCATGTCCACGTGCGCCGCCCTCGCCCTTGTCTTCGTCGCCCTCGTCAGCCTCCTCGTCCTCGTCCTCGTCCTCGTCCTCGCCCTCGTCCTCGTCAGCCTCCTCCTCCGCCCCCGTCCCGCCCTCTGCCGCAACCGCCCCACCCCTCAGCGCCTCTTCCACCCACGGGGCCACTGGCGAGGCGAGGGGAGAAGCCGCCCCCGGCGAGGGCCCGGCGGGGCTAGCCGCACCTCCACTCGCCGCCCTTTCCGCCGCCGCGCCGCCCCGCCCCGCGGCTGCCGCCGCCTCGCCCGCCGCGGCGTCGGCAGGTGCGGGCGTGAGGAGAGGCAGCAGCCGCTTTGCAATCAGCTCGTCTGTCTGGCTCAGCCACTCGGAGAGAGTGCGGCCCTGCGAGGCGCGCGCGCCCTCGCGCGCCGCGTGGCCGGCGTCCCACTCGGCGAGGCTCTCGAGCCGCCCCTGCCATCTGCACGGGCCGCGGCGGGAAGGGGCGGGAGGGGCCGTATAGTAAGGAGCGTCGCAGACTGTCCGACTTGAGGCGGCGGCGGCGGCGGCAGGGGGGCGGTGGCGGCAACGGGGCGGTGGCAGTAGCAATGGCGGCGGGGCGTACCCGCTCGGAAGTGTGCCGGCACGCCCAACGCGCAGCAGCCGGCGGTAGCGGCGCGTGCGGGGCGAAGTGACGGCAGCAAAGTGCTTCAGGTAGAAGCGCAGATTGTACTCCTGCTCAAGGTGGCCGCGCGGGCAAAACAGGTAGACCGGCTTGCCGACTGCAAGGGCCTGCGTGACCACGCCTCGGCTGGGAGTGGCGATGAGGCCGCGGGAGCGAGCCAGGTAGTGCGCGAATCGAGGGGAGGCTGGCTGCACGGTCACGTGCGGGTAGCGCTTGTACTTTGAGGTGTAGTAGGCCAGCCGCTTCTCCTGCAGGCGGCGGTGGAGGGGATGGGAGGGGGTGATGCGGGGGGTGGCGAAGGGTGTGCGAGCAATCCGCGTCTCCTTGACGAAGAGGAGGACCCTCCGTCCCGCAAGCTTGGACTTGAGCGGAGAGAGCACCTGCGGGAGGAAGGACTGGCTGTGTGGGCGGAGAGAGGGCCTGCGAAACCGCCGTGTAGCTCCTCCATGGATTGAATGATTGGCTGTGGGCGGAGAGAAGGCCTGCGGAACCGTCGTGTAGGCCACGTAGAAACCACCGTCGTCGAGGAGGAGCGGCGCCGCGGGCGGCAGCGACACGATCTGCGGGATGGCGCCCTCCATCGGGAGGACCGAGAGGGGCACGAGCGTGCCGCGCGGCCCGACGCAGAGCTGGTGCAAGCCTCGCATGAGCAAGCCCCGCTCGTCGCCAGAGCTGTCGCGGTAGATTTGGCCTTGGGAGGCGACAGCGATGAGCCTCGTCGGCGCATTCATCACCTGCGGGCCATGGGCAAGGGGGGGGGGGGGGGGGGTCCAGGGGGGGGGGGCATTGTCCCGGGAAAAGGCCCCCAATGCGTTGCCCCTTTATGATCCAGGGGACCGCCGGCTCCCCAAAAGAGAGGCAGTATTCGGGGGGGTACTTCTTTAAAAGGGGGGCAACCTTTCCCCAAAACTGGACGGAACCCGTACCCCCCTGGAGAGGCTCCGATGCCTCGGGACCCAAGGGGCATTTCAGGGTCTCAAAGGGGGATTCGAGGGTCTCAAAGGGGCTCCCACCCCCAAAGGACCGACCGTCCGGGGGGAAAAAGGGTGCCCTGGCCTGGGCGGCCCCCCCTCTTTTCGGGGTTCCCCCCGATCCCCCAATTTTTAAACCACTTGCCCTTGTCCTAATCCCCCCCCAAGGCCAAATCCACAAACCTGGGGGAAGGCGGGGCCTAAAAAGGGGGGATTTTCCTTGGGAAAATTCCCTTGGGGGAAAAGGAGGGCGTGAGCCCCCCCACCCCAAAAGCGCGTTGCTGTGGCACTTCTCTCCCCCAGCGTGCGGGAAACCATTCTTTAACCCCACCAGCTTTTAAGACGGGA